ACCATGGCATGTTACATGACCAGGAGAGATCCACACCATGGCATGTTGCAGTGCAGACATGACCAGGAGAGATCTACACCATGGCATGTACTGCCATGATACTGCCAAAAGTACAAACAAAGCTATAAAATCTGCACCACAGAAGTGGAAAGTGGCATTAAGAACCATCGGCAGACCTCTCAGTGGAAACCCTACAACCAGGAATATTATACCCAGCAATGCAGTCTATCTTTCGAGAACGTGGGAGAAGTAAGGGCCTTCTAAGACAGAACACTGAAGGCATCCATGTTCACAGTCTGGACTTATAGAAGAAGTTCAAGGTAACTCTGTTAGCCTTTGTGTCACTGTGACAGCATCATCTAGGCAAATCACATGCAGGAGGATTATTTGGCTCACAGATCTCAGAGGCTGCACTCTCCTGTGTGTAGGGGAACTCAACAGGGCAGAGCAGCTCGCATCACAGTACCAGGAAGCAGAGAGGGTGCTGTGCCTTCTTTCTCTCTCTACTACATCTGGGCTACCAACAGCTACATCCAGCGTGGTTCTTCCTCACTCATTCCTCTTGAGAGAATCATATCACAACACCCTGAAGGAGTGTGCTACACTGGTGTTGGCACTTCTCAAAGCCAACCAACAATCAAGATTTACCAGCATAAAGCCATACAGCTACAAGAAAGGTAAGTCCCACTGGAAGAACAGAAACTCCAAAGGTACCAACTTTACCTACACAGTGAGAAGTCACTAAACCACAGCAGCCAACAAAGCACAGAGACAACAAAGGATGCTGGAAATGAGCTGTTGGCCTGTATTAGGCCTACTGTATGGGCTGTCCTAAATGGACAAAACTAGAAGGTACAGGTGGATGCAGAAAGGGAGGAGATGCAGGAACACACTGCTGGGGCTGGAGAGAGGGCTCAGCAGTTAAGAGCTCTTGTAACTCTGGCTGAGGGCCTGGTTTGATTCCCAGCACCGACATGGTGACTTACAACTGTCTAATCTTCAGGTACTCCCATGGTATATGTCCACCCACATAAATAAATAAACCTTAAAAACTTTTAAATAGGGGGCTGGAGAGATGGCTCAGCGGTTAAGAGCACTGACTGCTCTTCCAGAGGTCCTGAGTTCAATTCCCAGAAACCACATGGTGGCTCACAACCATCTGTAATGGGGATCCAATGCTCTCTTCTGGTGTGTCTGAAGACAGCAACAGTGTACTCACATACATGAAATAAATAAATAAATCTTTAAAAAAAAACTTTTAAATATATACATCGCCTAGAAGAAACTGATGTCACACAGAAAGACATACAGG